AATCAAACGGTTTAGCCGCAAACTTCCGTGCCGTATAGCGTGAATAACCCTGTATAATGATACAACATCCAGTGATATTATCCGATGATTCTTTGGTATTTTTTGTTGTTTCATAAAATCACAAAAACTCCATGAGTCTTTAATGTAATATTGACTAATCACCTGTTAGGTCTAATTAATTTTAGAATGCTTTAAAGTGTTGCAATTGTGATGTATTTTAGTGTGTGATATGATGAGGCTGTTGACGAACTGTGGTTGTTTTTAAATTAATGAAATTTTTTTAACTATCTGTTATTTTAGAAAAACTGATGATGGTGGAAAAATAGAGACAATAAATGACTGAAACCCAGGAATAAATTTGATTTGGAATTGAAACAGGCAGGAAAGTATATGCTAATACCTAATGTGAATGACGAATCGCAGCCACTTGGGGGTGAAATCCGCCTCACAGCTGCCCAGGCCGGAGGGCATGTACAGGGTGCGCTGCCTAATAAAAGTCTGAGAATTAGGCGGCATATCGGCGAGATCATAAGGCAGGACGAACATTTTCACTACGGTCCCCAACGGATTGAACAAGGTGACCTGAACAGTGCCCACTTTCGGCACATTGTAGCCCTTCTTGCCCAAGCTGATATGGCCCTGAAACCATCCTTATAACAACAAACAGTCTATCTAGACGCTTTACTCACCAGATACGGTGTGGACAACCTGTCCTGATCGCCCAGAGCGTAAAAGAAGGCAGTAACCGGAACGAAAATATGCTTTGGTACGAACGAACCACTGGCGCCCAGTTCAGCAGTGAACCCATGAACTGTGGAGACCGGCTCCAGCCTGCCATTTAGCACCGACTCCTCAAAAGTCCCTGTAAACGCGCTCAATCAAAGCCAGACCGCTTGGACATGCCCTCGCAAACAAACCTAACAAACTGGTCGGTCGGCCCTTTTGGCGATAGACTGGAGTGAGAACCTTTTTGAGACCCGTGTAGATTTCCGGACTGCAAGGGGAGGCGATGCCTCCTTCGCTCTCGCTCTCCTCGTCCGTGGACAAACTGCTTGAAAACAGCGCACTGAAAAAAATAATTTAATTTGATTTGATTTGATTCCACTCTCAACTTACCTGTTGATGGCCGAGACGGAAGTCAACGAAGAATCAAAATCGAAGCGAGTTTGGCCCTTACGAGCGGGCGCCGGGCTGCTGCACAACGGTAACCCGGTGCGCACATGGAACGCTGCAGGCGTGCTGTTTCCCAAATTCCTGCGGCATTTTGCCTGGTCATGGGCGGCGGGTATATTGGGCTCATTTGTACTCTGTGACTGATCAACCAAAGACTCGTTGCGCTCAAAAGTGATTTTCTTCCGAGCGCCCGACGCCTGTTTTATCAAAACAGGACTATCACAATGGCTGTTGTCTACGTGCATATTTAAATTATTCTTTTGCCTACAGCTAAATGTATCACTTTCGCTCATATCACAATTATATTTATCACACTCACTCAGCGGCCAGGTCTGCGTTTCAGCGCAGCGCACCTTATTGGTGTGGTTGCGTTTGCCGCTGCGCTCTATTGCGTCTAGCAGGAGCTGGCCTTTATCTTGGACAGTTTTGAGATCATTTAAATTATGGCGACGCTCGTGCGGGCGCGTGTGTCTTTCCAAATCCTGTTTCGCCTCTTCGATTTGCTTGCCCAAGTCCAAATAATTCTTTGCATTGTCTGCGGCCTTCGATCGCTTGCCGCCGTACGTTCGGTGCTTGTCCGGATCCTCAATTTCCTCGCAGCAATGCTTTCCTTTCACAGTGCACGAAGTGTGCATTCGATCGTCAACCAGCTCCTTCTTCAGCTCCATAGCGTTGTGCCAGCAGTCCAGGTGCGGCTTGGCGGACAATCGGGGGGCGCTGGAAAATGTGATGCTCAGTGCGGTGCCATTGCCCAGATCGGTACTGGGAAATTCGTGCCTCGAGGCCGTTAGGGAGAACGTGAGTGGGGCCAGCAGCCCCTCGGGGCTCGACAGGCGGTACCGGAAATTGTCGGCGGTTAATGGGGCCGACTTATTTTGCGTCACCAACCATGCGGTTATTTGCGAAAAGTACAACTGGGATCGGATGGCGCTCAGCAGCTGGTTGATGTTGAATGTGATCGCCGATGATCCTCTGCAATAAAACAAAGCCAGATTGACCCAAGTTTTGCGAAGGTACCTCACAAGTGAAGATTCAGCCTGGTTAATCGAACATTTTCGAACAATCGAACAAAAAAGCCTTCTGTGCATTTTGTCGGTTTGTAGATAATCGCCAGTATTCGCGAGTTCAAAAGTCCAAACGCCCCCTGCCGGCTAAAATTATAACTACACGTCAACTAGTAATTTGAACAAGCGTCTAGGTATACGACACTTCTTGTCAATTCTATCGATTGCGGCGTTTGTTATGATTTAAGACGATTTAAGATTAGGTGATTTTTTCCCGGTATTTTGTTGTAACCGTGAACTCTTTGGATTTTATTAATATAGTGTTGGACTTATAGTTTGATTTAGAACAACTTAACGATGTGTTTTTTAACGTTACTCTAAATATTATCTACACCAAATGGGGCGTTTTAATAATAAAAATGTATTATTGAGCAAATAGATAGTTGGCTTAAGTTATTTTCCTATGTGCAATGTGCAAATTTAATTAAAACAAATATCAACGATTTTTTAATTTTAAAGTAACAGAAAAAATTTAATTACTATTGTAAGAGTCAAGAAATATTAAGCAAAAGAATTGCTGGTATCTTCTGTATCCATTTACTTTTTGTTTAACATGTCACACTAAGCAACACATGAAACTAATTGCCTTTTTACACTATTCCAAGAAAAGTGGAATACCAACAACGTAGTTCGACTTTTTAGTAGGTAGTACTATGTGAATTAATTTCATTAATCAGGCGTATAAAATACTAGGATTTGTAATCAGAAATTTTAAATATTTTAACAATAAAATATTTTTTTATTACATTTAATGTCATAAGCACTCTTACTTGTTATTGCCACGTGGGTGATGTTTATTATAAGATTCACCGATAAATAAATCTATGGAATGTATTTACTAATTTGAAAACTATCCATATAAATGTATCGATGTATGTAAGGATATTTAATATACTGTCAAATATACAATAAACCAAACTTTTTAGGAGATTTATTTAATGGTTTAAGTTGCTTATACTTAAATACTACGAATACAAAATCTAAAACCTACTTAAGTTGATCAGAATAAATCATTTGTAAATTGTTATAAATTAAGAAATACTCATAATTATCACCGTCTTTCTTTGGGCTAATATAGAGGCAATGCTATTATTTTTGTTCCAACCAATTCAAACAATCCCTCATAAAAAATTAAAAATTACTAGCCAAGAGCGTATAAAATTTACCTATGAATTTCTGTACGATACTATTTGTTTGTCATTTTTATCTAGAGCTTAAATAAAGTTCGAACTGCACGAGAGAATGAAAAAAAAAATGATTAGCGGACTCGCGGTTGTTTATCTCGACAAATTATAAAATAATTATCATCAAACAATAAAGAAAACCACCTAACCTTAAATCGTCTTAACTCATTTGTAGAACTTGTCAACGATACGTTCGATAACAACAAACCGGTAGGCTTATTTGATTGGGTCGAATCGCCACAATTGATAGAAGTGACAGGACGTGCCGTATACCTAGACGCTTGTGTAATTTGACACTTGTTTTGTTGACATTGGCGTTTGTGATTTGTTTCTTTCCAATCAACGTTGGCAAGATGTTAAAGAAATCGAAGCCGATCGAAGTTTGTAAGTTGTTTTATGTTATACAGGGTGAGTTTTTTTCGATGACCAGTACAGGGATCTACGAGCAGTTACGAAGAAGGTCACGGTCATGGACTATTATTTGTTGCCATGGAAACAATGCTAAAAATGCTTAAAAACTCAAATTTGTGTCATATGTCAAAAATGACAGTTATTTTGCAGAAATACATTATGCCATTTTGTTTGGAATTCAATTTCGTACAAGTCTTCTATTTAGTGTTTTCCTGCCAAATTAATAGAGAGTTATTGGTCGGCCAATACGTCCATGCAGTATTATAGTTTGCGCTATTTTGACACAAACGCCTGCGCAAATCAGTCTAAAAAATAAGTACTGCAAAATTAAAGTACTGTTCTGTAGTATTTGAGCCCCGATACTGCACGTTTTATTTTTTACACATGTAAACATTACGTTTAACTACGTATAAAATTTTGTATTACTTATACAATTGGTTCAAAATGCCACATTTTTGCAGTGTCGCTAAATGATCAATACGTGCTGAACGAGATACGGTTTCTTTTTTTCGATTTAACGAGACAAATAGAGGAGAGAGGGTGGCTTTAAAACGGGTGCCTCTAAGTGAAATCTATATGAGAAATGATTGTATTTGCTTAGGACATTTCATAACTGGTGCAAAAATCAAGGTTTTGGACGATTGATATGAAACTTTCAGCATTTGTCCACTCAAGTATCGCCTAACGATGGTGGAAATTTCAAGTGGTTACTTACATTAGTTTGGAAGATGCGAATTTTTAAATGAGGAATCGCAGTTTTGTAAAAACTTGCACTTTCATGTCCATATTTTCTGGGCCGGCAAAAATCAAGGTTTTGGACGATTGATATGAAACTTTCAGCATTTTTGCTACTGTTTATGTTTGATTGAAGGAAAACCAGCTGCCTTGGAAGAGAAAACTAATCCAGATGTGTTGCCCAACGAAAATTTAAGAAACATTTGTAGTCTCTAACCAGGTCAATCTGCCTGCCTACTCCCTATTTAAAAGGTTTTTAAAAAGAGCTAGAATGAAGCCAGAGGTTGGTTGGTATAACATTAAAAGCCATAATGTAATGCTGTTTTTAGGTTCGAGCTGAAGTGGTTTCTGCATGGTGCACAAGAATTTGACAGTGTTTCACAATTTATTGAAGAAATTTGAGCAAAGCAGATTTATGGAAGCTGTGTTAGTGAGTCAGTTCAAACTGATGTACCTAACTGAAGAATATTCAAGTCGTGTTTTTCAGAATTTAGATTTTCGCATTTAAAACGCAAAATGATTAATAATAAATTGTGTAAGGTTAGGTTACACAATAACACATGTTTAATACTGAAAGCAGTGAACTAGACATTCCAATAACTATCATTTCGTTACAGAAATAACGCAAATGCAGTATTAAAATAAGGAATAACATTAGTACTGCATGACAGTATTTAGCATGTCCAATAACTCTCTATTATCAACGGAAGTAGGAGTAATTTAAAAATTTACCATAATTAAGTTTTTCCGAAATCTCTTCTAACTTTTGAAAAATAAAATTGTTTTCGAGTAGAGCCTTCAAAACTACAATTCTTTGTCCATTTAACCTTTTTCGTAACTGCTAAAGATGCGAAAATCCCTGTACCCATCATCGACAAAAACTCACTGTACCTGTACCCTGTAGATGTCATCAAGTCCGATAAGTAAACACGTCTGACAAGTCTCAACTGTCGCTCGACAACGAGTAATTTGACGTTTTGCAGCAATAACCGGCGAGTTGTCACTTGTAGGCCTGCCAGTTTGACAACTGTCGCATGGGGCAGTAAACAAATAGGCCTACTATACTGCGAACAACGCAACCCGTACATACATCGTTTACGCGTTTTTACCTGTTAGGACCAGCGGAGAAGTGCCATTGTTCCAGTAAAACGGTGTTGGCCAAATGGTCAGCGTCCAGTTTCCCCAGCGGTTTGCAGGTGCAGGTGAACAGAACCTCGATGCAAAACGGCCCACCCTGTTTGAACACGTTGAGGATGATGTCGCGGTTCCTCTGGAACCTTTCGCACTGCAACAGAAGCCCGCTGAACCCTCTTAAACTGACATCTGAAAGGGCCTGGACCACTCACCAGAAGATTGGCGTCGTCGCACTGATGATTCCGATTGGTGCCAGTCAACAGGTTGCAGTGCGGCCCTTCGTGGAAGTCTTTCGCTTTCGGATTGGCCGCGTCCGGTCCTGGAATCCGACCCTCGGTCACCAAAGTGGCGACCGCCACCAAGAGATCGCCCTCATCCAAACAGCTATTCGACTCCGGATCCAGATTAAAACTATGCATCTGAAAGGGAAGTTAGAAGCGTGATTTTTCGAGCTTTTTTGAAGCGGTTTCAACCAGAACGTGCGATCGCCGCTTTGCCCGGTCTAAGAAGTGAAAGTGGGCTTGCGGCCCGGGAAAGAAGCACAAAGCAAGTTCAGATTTGGCCACTTAAAAGTATACCAGCCGTAACGGTACACGATGATGAATCAGTTTCGTGTGCCGGTGCTATTGGGAAATGTAGGAAGCGAACGCAGTGGCCAATCAGGGTAGAGTGCGATTAGCTAACTAGGTAGAAAACGCTGGCGTTGCCTGTTCAAACTAAATATCCTGGTTGAAACCGACAGTGCGGTCTGGTACCTACCCTATAAGATCCTTTCCATTACCCAAGCGATTAGCAGCAATCAAAATCTGCAACAAAGAAATACCGGATTAATCGCGACACATGGCGGATGCGCCCCAATTCAGGTCACCTCGGAGTTGACCCAATTTACTTTGCACAAGTGTGGCCAAGCAGCTGACTATGGAAGGGACGTCGATACTGACGAAAGCTGGCATTGCTGCGGAAAACAGCTGACTCGCTCTATCAGCTGAGTCTATGCAACAAAGGCCACGCTGCCTTATGAGTGTGGGCGTCCCACCTGCCCACAAACCTTGACAAGTTGGCCGGATTTGGCATTGTAAGGCTTATCTTATCGCAGGACGACAATTAGCTAATAGCGGAAAGTTCGATCTTTCGTGCTTTCAATTGCGTAGTTTAATTAACCGAATGTGCAGCGACAGCGGAATAGTCACTTTCTTCTAATCGGTGTAATCTGGACAATGTAGGACTGCATGTCGATGGTTGCCACTTCTACCTGACAACGACTACAATTCTTATTGATTTTCTGCTCAATTCGCACGCTGACTAACATTGCCTAAACCCACAAAGGGAAAAAGGAAAACTGGCAAATTTCGCTCTCAATATCAGCAGCCACGAACGTCGATGGCGATTGAACGCCAGTGAAGCTCCCAACACAACGACGTTCTGACTTTTAGACAAAGCGCTTAAAACTGATTGGTTGAAGGTTGAATGGTCTATTCGAACTTTCACTCAAATTACAGACAATTGCCCAGCTTGGAGCATTTCGGCGTTCAAGCCTTCGACACTAAACTGTCTATTAAGCGTTGTTCATACGTCCACCATTCGTTTCAAGTAATCTTTTATGAGAATGAGCAATTTGCGATTTTCAACAACAGAATCACGTAAAACTGACGAACAAAGCATAACAGTCCTGAAATTTTCAACGCAGCAAGTGAGTTTAGAAAGTATGTCAACTTCGACCCAAAACCAACAGCAGAACCTCGAGTGCTGAGGAAAAGAACGCCGATGGTGTTAAGTTGGCTGGTTTCGGTCACTTCCATCGACGTTCTGACGTTTAGACAACGTTGGGCTGATGCGATTTTACGGCAAATAAGCAGCCGAAAGTTTGTCGACACCAAACAGATGGTTTTCCGCGTTTTCTCGGCTGTCCAAAAATGGACGGCCGCATGTAACAGTGCGTGGGTTCTCCTGCGACGCTCATTTTCAATCAAGGATTTCTAGGCCAACAGCACACGTGTGTGCCACTTTGCAGCATCTTTGCCTGTCGCTGCTGTTATCATTTTACGCGTTTTGTTGTCCTGGCTGCGACTGATCCGCGCACTTTAATCCGAGCTGGATAAGTCGAGTTTTACGTTGAAAGTGCGCAGCAAGTGGGTCCAACACCTTGTAAACATGTGGCGAGACCCTGAATACTGAATAAGAAAACATCAATATTTGGCTTTTGTTATCGGCAATGTGGTGCGTAGCTGGAACCCTGCAGGTCATCCGCCAACCCAACCATCCAGCTGGAATCGCTCAAATCGGTGCCAAGTGGACATATTTAGACCGTTTCATTTCCACATACTCCAGAAATAATCGCCGAACAAAAGGGTCGGAAAAAAATTGCCAAGTCTCCACCTACAAGTTCAACGCACTTAGGAAAAAATCAGTTAATAATAGAGCGACGAGTGTGAAACAATTGCGATGGCTTTGGGGGGACAATGTCGCGTGCCTGGGGGGCTGACAGCTCCTGCGAGCAGAAATGCGACGCAATAAGTTTTTTCAGCCGGCTTGGCCGAAACCGCTGGCAGGTCATCAGACTCGCCACAACCCAGAAGTTCAGCGACCAGACAGTCTTGGGTTGAGGGATAAAAGTCGCGACGCCTGGGGCAACAACCCTGTATCAGGAGCGGAGCATTCAACTCATGTTGGGGGACGATATTTGTCGAGATTGGGGAGAAATGAGGAAACTTGCACAAGTTATTCCTACAGGGTGATTGGCGACAGTCTATCCATTCGGCTCGTTTAGAAAGGCAAGCACGGTTTAACCCAGAACAAGAAATCACTAAATATTGGAAACCCTCCAACAATGTTCATTACTCCAATGGAAAAAATCTCCGGCCGATTAGTCGACACGTGCATAGTAGGCCCATATTCAGCAAACTGCGCGACGAATGACAGACCTATAAGCGGACAAAAATCCGTAGTACTCAACAGCAGATCAATGCCTGAGGCGCCCTGAAAGCATTCAAGGAGCATCTGAATTGTCCAACATAGGTATATGGTTAAAACCAGCGACAAATCGAAAAATTTACGCTCAAAAACAGACGGTTTGCGCACAATCCTAGACCAACATGTGCTCGATTAGACGATTTTTCAGAAAAATACGCTCCCACAATCCGGAAATGTCATGAAAGGCAGCCTCAATCAAACCAGTGCAGCCCCACTAATTGAACCCCTCATTCAGCTACTCTCAGATAATTACCCTGTGGTTGTTCGAAGGGGGCCGATAAGGCTGCAATCTGGTGCAACAGTATTGATTGTCGCTCGACAACAATTAAGCGCAATTAGCGCTGCCCAAAGCCCCCAGTGGCTCTGTTAATAACACGACGAGTGGCAGGCCAGACAAAATGGCATCCATATTGCGACTATCAACAAGCAGAACAGGTTTGAAAGTATCAAAGCAATGGACTCACCTAAGTGGTGTCAGGATTAGGGCTCCAACTCGAACGGATGCTATATAACTGCACTATTATCAGAGGCTCTTGTCGTACTTCTATCCATGCTGGTTACGTGATGTACGTGTGTGTGAACAAAGCGCAGCACAAGGATCCACTGGAGCACGCGAGACCACAAACATTCACCTACGAATCTCATTTAAAACTGGCCGTGTCAGCTGTTTGTCAAACTCAGCACGCAGGAAGTCCGAAGTGGTGGGGACACTTGGCTGGTGGTCGCAGCGATGCCAAGTGTACTGAGCGACTGAGAACTACCAGTGACCAGTGGTAATCCCAGTCTAGAATTAAAACAAAAATTCTCTTTTAATTAAAACTGAAAATTGCTGCAGTACAGCCAAAGGCCTTAAAATTATTTTGTTTAATTGACTGTCCTTTTCTCCCCCAGTCTCTAGACAAGGAGGGCAATAGCCATGGGGAATGAGTGGATAAAGCAAATCAATTCGTTCAGTTAGCACGAGGACATTTATTACCAATAAGCATAATCAAACATTACAAAAAGTGCACCTATTTTTTGCCGGATTTCTTGATGCCGCCACTCACCAGCGGCCCCTTTTGCGACGCCTTGGCCTTCGCCTCCTGCAAAGCCTTTTGCTGCTCCTTTAGCTTCTGTTTCTGCGCCACATCGTCATCGTCCAGTTCGCGCTGGTCTTTCTTCGGCTGTTTTAAGGGCTTTTTCTTACCACCTTCTCGTCCAGACATCTGAAAAGTTTTGAAATAAAACAACACGTGACAACCTCAAAATGCTGATTTTAACCCTACTATTGGAAAACTGTTAGAGGGTCAGAAATACTAATAAAAACTGGATTCTGCTTGAACAGGACTTCTTTTGGCTGAATAATTCCACAAATCGCAGTTGCCCCTGCTGCCCAATTAGCACATTTGCGTGTGGAAAATCCAACCTAATATCACTAATAACATTCTATTTACCTTGAATCGTACACGATAAAGCGTCAATTAGTTGCTGATGCTCCGCCTTGAGAACTTTCACCAGAGACAAGACTTGCCTCTGCTTTCACTTAAAAAAGGGCTTTGAGTTTTCAGTCGCCACTACGTTGTTAGTTCACTGGCAAATAGTGAGGTTAACTACACCTGCTCGCTCAGAACCAACAGCGTTGCTGCGAACGACACATACAACAGCACGAGTCAGATTCACCAGCACACAAAAAAGCGTGCGATTCCCGATAAAAACCCTCAAGCGGCATCGCCGCTTACAACATTGACATCTCTAGGCCCGCAGAGAGGAAGTCCTGGGCCCCTAACCTTGAAACCTAAATACAATGTTTCCGTTTACCCACTGGGAAAGTAGGATATGAATCTATTCAAACGCCCGGCGGCACTGTTGAGCTGTTTTCCTACAAGGCATCCACCCAGACTGTCGGACAATGTTTACAAACAGTGCCCTTTGGATATAATCCGGGAGCTCTACAGGCCGCTGATTGCTGTAGACGTTTTCCTGAAAAATCTACATTTGCGGCGCTACAGACTATACAGCACCAGCTCGAAGGATGCGGCCGCCAAATTCAACAAGCGCAAAGACGAGCTGAAGGCGTACGTCGACTACAAAAAGGAGAAATTGCGCGACACTGAGCTAAGGATCAAGGAGCGCGGAAATGTGCTGTTGCAAGACCTCAAAGACACCAAAACGAAAGTGCGGGAGCGGGTGGAGGAGATAGTGGTGGCAAGTACAGAATACGCACTTTATTCTGCAAGCTGCTAAAGTTTGCGGTTTCAGAAGGAGAACATCTACACGATTCCAAACCTGTTGTGTATCACTCGAATGGCGGCCTCGCCTTATTTGGGGCTTCTAATCGTGCACGGCGACTTTGACTGGGCCCTGGGAGTCCTGGGCTTTGCCGCTGTAACGGACCTGGTAAAAAAGAGCGGCGTTAACCTGCAGACTGGGCTCAGTGGTTTGTTTCTAGCTAGATGGGTGGATAGCCAGGACTTGGGCCTCCCAGTCATCGAAAATGGGCAGCTTTCTCGACCCCATGGCCGATAAGATACTGATTGCCACGTTGTTTCTCACCCTCACCTATGCGGATCTCATCCCTTTCCTACTAACAGGCCTGATTATCACTCGGGACGTCCTGCTAGTGATTGCTGGATTTATTATCCGTTACAAGTCTCTACCGCCCCCTGTAAGTGAGGTGACTCAGTTAAATGAGTGTTGGGTCATGCAGGTGATTTCAGAGGACGTTCCTGCGGTATTTTGATGCCACTCACGCCACTGCCCAACTAGAGCCGACCTTTATTAGTAAAGTAAATACTGCAGTTCAGTTGCTGCTGGTGGGCACCACCCTGGCAGCCCCGGTTTTCGATTTCGTTAACCATCCAGCCCTTCAGGGACTGTGGTAAGACATGAAGCCACTTAAAGGCGTAATTTTATCACTTTGTTTATTCTCTACAGGTATGTTACTGCTGGCACAACAGTCGCAGCTGCTCTGAGTTACATCTTATCGAAAAACACTTATAAAATATTAACCAAAGCGCCACAGCCCAGATCTAAATAGGCGCCGACGGCAGTACAAATGCGCTGTGAGATTTTTGTATAAACTAATAATCCGTTATCACAAAGAATTCGAGGGGGTTTCCAAAAAGATCCACTCCTACCACTTCCACTCCTTCAAGCGCCGCGACTTTTTGAGGGCATCCAATGCCTGAACGGCCTTTTCATCAGCGTGGCTGCGCACTTTCAAGCTTTGCTGTCTTTGGCCGCCCCTCAGCACTGACTCATGCTCCAGGGCAGCAGCGACGCCCTTTTTGGAGAAAAGGTGCTCCAAAATGTAGTCACCCTTGCTGGGTTTATGACGCTTAGGCGGCGCTTTTGTCTCCCGTTTCACCAGGCCTTTAACCAGCTGGCCGTCGATTTTTCCTGAAGTGTCCGGGGACATCGAGCACCGCCGTTTTCTGCCTTTGGCTTTCAAAGCCTTCAACTCGGAGGGGCGGATTTGCTTGGTGGTGATCTTGCGGTAGAGGGCGGCCGATTTGGAGCTTCGCTCTAACGCCTCCTCGAAGCTGCCCCCGGCCACGTCCCCGTCCAGGGTGTTTTTGTCTTCATCCTCCCGTACGGCGGTTTTGAGTCGGTTGAATTCCACCAGCTCTTGCGCGGTGAGATGCTTGAGTTTCGCTTTCTCTTGCAGCTTCTGCTGGCGCTCCTCCTCCAGCTCCAGCCGATATGCGTCTATCGCCGGCTCCTTGGTGAGACTCTGGGAGATCTTGCGCGCCAGCGCCCTCATAGCGCGCACCTTCTCCGATTCATCTACATCAGGCGTTTCGTTCCGCTTAATCTTCTCCATGATTTTCACTCGAGACTCCCGGAAAATGTTGGCAGTTTCAATGCTGGCCTTGGGTGATTCCGGCAGGGAGAACAGGTCGAAAAGATCGGAGGACTTGAAGAATTTGTTTGTCGTCGGGTCAATCAGCACCTTGTTGCTGAGCAGCTGCTTCCAAACCTGCCTTTGATACATTTTCTCCTCTACAGTGCCCGCGCACAGCAGCCGGTAGATAGTTACCGGTCTGTCTTGGCCGATTCTCCAGGCGCGTTCCCGGGCTTGGCTGTCCGTGGCAGGGTTCCAGTCGGGGTCGTAGATAATCACCCGGTTGGCCCCCGTCAGGTTCACTCCCAGCCCCCCCACACGGGTAGTAAGCAGGAACACCTGGTAGCTCACATCCTGGTTGAAGGTGTCGATCAGACCCTGCCTGGAGCCCACGCTAGTCGCGCCATCCATCTTCAGGTACTTGTAGCCATGCTGCTGAAGACAGGCCTCGAAAATGCGCAGCATTATCCGCCCCTGGGAGAACAGCAGCGTTCTATGGCCTTGTTTTCGCCAAATCTTTAGCAGCGCTGACACCACCACCATCTTCCCCGAATTTTTGTAATTGCCGAAGTTTTCCTCCGGAGCGACGTCGTCGCCCTCATCGTGTATGAACAGATCGGGGTGATTGCAGATTTTCCTCAGCGCGGTGATTGCCATCAGCAGGTGGCCCTTCATAAAGTTCTCGCTCCGCCAGCGCTTCGCTCCGCGCCCCAGAATGTTGTTGACATGCTCGCTCATCAAGTAGTCCTTGTATATATCGCGCTGCTGCTCTGTTAGTGAGCAGAACAGCACCTGCTCGCTCTTGTGAGGCAACTGGATGTGGTCCTTGACGTCGGTTTTCATGCGGCGCAGCAGAAACGGAGAAATTACGTTCTTCAGGGTGGAGGCCACTGAAAGCGCAGTGGCTTCCTGCATGGGGCTGGCGTTCGCAAAGCCCCCTTGCAATATGGGGTTGGCAAAGTGCTCGGTGAAAACCGCCAAGTTCCCCAACATGCCCGGATTCGTGAAATCAAACAAGCTCCAAAGCTCCGTCAAGTTGTTCTGCATCGGACTGCCAGTGAGCATGATTCTGTGCGGGGTTCTCAACTCTTTCACCGCGACTGTCACTTTAGCTGACGGGTTCCGGATTATGTGGCCCTCATCCAGCACCAGATAGTGCCAACTGTGCTCGCAAAGGTTCCCCTTGTACTTTAAAACAGCTGCATATGTAGTGATTAGAATAGCCTTATTGCGGTTCCCTTCGGCTATCAGTTTGGCCTTTTGCCCCTGATGGGTCCCGGACTGATGAAGCACCACCACTCGAAACTCCGGCGACCATTCGTGGAAATGCTTGACCCATTGGTGAATCACGGTGGCCGGGCAGACGATTATAGTGGGCCCCAGTCCTACGTATTTACAGTGGTTTGATATGGGCCGGCTGTATTGCAGGGCGTGGAAAAAGGCGATGATCTGCACAGTTTTGCCCAGCCCCATTTCATCGCCCAACAGGCCACCGCTGGACCTTTGATGAAGCTCCCACAGCCAGTAGACGCCCTCTTTCTGGTACTCGTAGAGCTTGTTCCAAGCGTCTTTGGGCGCTTTGAGTCCCCCTTTTAGCTTCTTGTAGTCCTTGCCTTCACTAGGGCCTACGGCCTGCAGCTCCTGCTCCAGCCGTGTGTAGTACTGTTCCAGGCGCGCTTGATAATTTTCCTCCAGGGCATCATCAGTGACTTTTAAGGTTGCGGCAGGTTTTCTCTTGCTGGCCGTTTTTAGACGCCCTTTTTTTCGCCTAGTTGGTTGACGCTCTGCCAGTTCGGCGTCACTAGGAATATAATCGCTTCCCGAGTCGTCATCAGGCTCTGGACTGTTCGGATCAGGCTCTAGACTGTTCGACTCATGCTCTGAACTGTTAGGCTCATGCTCCTCAGGGGAGGCTTTCTTAAGGTCAAAAATGACCGGGGGCTGTTTGTCTCTGGCTTCTTCTGCAAGTATTTCGAGCTCCTTCAAAGCCTGCTGTTCCAGCACTTCCTGGCTGGTGCTCCATAGCTGAATGCCCTCAGATATCAGGCTTTGGATCTCCTAGAATGGTGTGATTGAATCGCACTGGGCTTTAGTCGGGGAATTATGAGGAAACTTACTTGATTTGCCACGCCACTGAAATCCATATCTTGCACAGTTTCAAAAAGTTAATTTCCTAATGAAATTTTACCTTTAATTTGAGCAATTTACTGTAAAAGTGTTGTTTGAATTCAAGTGCAGGTTGTGTTTTGACGTTTTTGTTCTAAGCTTGAAGGACAGGGTGAAATGAGCGCAACTAGAGTTGTGTAGGAAGGACGAACGAAATTGGGCGCAGTCAGGTTTTGGAAATCAGCTCTTTACTACGGAAAGATTGCTACGAAATTTTGAAAAAAACCATTCGTAAATATTGCTACGTCTTTTAAATGACCTTGTATATAATGTCCGGTTTTATGCAAAATAGCAGTAAAATTTGGTAATTTTACACTCACCATAGATAACATTTTTATTGACAACTTTTCTCAATGGTGTTTGTGACAAAAATGCGGTTTTCGACCACTTTTCAGTCGTTTTTTCGTACATCGAAATCGAAATGTACACTTCGATAAGAAAATAGAGGAGATGCCATGATGTCAAATCGTTGTCAGATAAATCGGGGACATTTTCCGCTGTCATATATGAACTGGGGGACCAAGTCGGAGTAGCACGCAAATGAAAAGCGATTTTCCCTGTCATGGGGTGGAAAACGGGGGTAAATCGTTAAGGTGTCAAATGGCATGGTCTCCGAATGGTCCGGAAAGGTCAGAGTGGCAAATCCCCCAGTAAAAAATTGCGAAAAACCGATCCGGATGCTTCACATAATGTGATGTTTACATCACAACCGCGTTGTTCGGTTCACAAGCGAAATCTGTACATTGTGTCGTTTCCCGTCATATTCCTGTTTACCATTTTGCGCTCATTGTTGTACCAGATTTTCGTCATCCTGCGTTTTATCTATTGTCGCTCCACGAACTACTTGGTCCGCAGTCGTAATGAGCCAGCAGGCACCGACCAGACCGAGACCAGCAGTTGCATTTTAGTTGAAGAAGGCACGGAAATGGCACAGGTGAGAAGCACGGGGCCCGGCCCCGGGGACCCCCTTTTGGCCAAGCAGAAGCACCATCATCGGCGGGCCTTCGAGTACATTTCTAAGGCCCTGAAAATCGATGAGGAGAACGAAGGTGAGCGACCATTTCAGCCCAAATTAGCCACCACCTCAACAATACGTTTTAAGGTCAAAAGGATTTGGCAATTGATCTGTACCGAAAGGGGATCACGGAATTGGAATTGGGGATCGCCGTTCAATGCTGGGGCGGCCGTGGGGAAGTGTGGGAGCGCGCCCAACGGCTACACGAAAAAATGAAAACTAACCTATCGATGGCAAAGGATCGACTGCAGTTTTTAGGTAAATTGCCACTCAACTTGGCTCTAACTGGGTTAGTTTTCCGGCAGTTCACTTTTTCAGTTGCTCTGTATTTATAGACAACATGGACAATCTTCAGCAACTACAAATGAAGACTGATCATAACGACACTCCTAAGTTTAGCAATATTCCCACTCCTAAAGTATTTGTTCATAGGCCCCCAGGTATTTTGTTTAGTTTATTTTTTCATTTGTCTTGTTTGCTTGATTGCTTAACAATGCGGGTGCTTGTCTAACCTTATTTATGCTCTAATTGCCACTGTCGTTTCGTGCCTTTTTGTTGGAAAATTATCTATGTCCTCCATCTGGTCTAGAAATGAATGCAACAATGCTTGGTCAAAAAGCAAATTGAACTGCAGCAACCACAATCCTAAATGGTTCTTTAAAACCACTATTTCTGTTGCGTTCATTCCCAGACAACTACAGTGTGATTCAAAACAAGGGCGGATCCAGGGGGGGGGGGGKCATGATTCATGACCCCCCATTCAATTCATCAGAAAAAAGCAGCGTCATGTTCAAGTGGATTTTGCAACTAAAAAAAAACCACACAAATCTAAAACTTCCTGAATTCAAGCATTTTTTGAGAAAACTGCCAACATTTCCTTATCGATGGTTCACTTTCTAAAAAGGCCATTTATTTCTCTCTAGAATGATGTACAAATGAGCGTTCTTGCTCATTTTGCATCCGAGATATGAGCAAAAACGGGACGGAAAACATTAAATTTTGGCATTATCTTGAACCTAAGTGTTTGATATTCAAATTTCGCTTTCTGTGTCAAAACTACTCGAATTTCCTCACTAACGTTGTTACGACTGAATCGACTTTTCAATTCTCTATCCAACGATGCCAAAACGAATTCT